TTCAGTGCACACAAGAATAAAAACCCCTCTGAGAAAAGGTGCAATCTTCTTTTCAGAGCAAAGCTTTAAAAGAACCTTTTTTCAGTTTGTGAATCTCTCTACATGCTCCCTTGTTTATTAGTTTCTGAGCTGACTATGGAAGAGCTAAGGTTGAAAATAGTTTATAAAGGCAAGGATAATGGATGCATAAAATTAAGGAGCTCAAGTATTTGGAAATTGCTCCCCAATCTGTTTTGTGGGCTTCTGCCAGGGCTTGCCCTTTTGAAACCAGCTGAACCTGGAGGAGCTCAGTGCCAGCGAGACAAGAAATAGCACAAATAACAAATGGCTCCTCTCAGAGCGAATTTACCTCCTCTGCTGAATCATAGCTGGATCCAGCTCATCTTTCATGATCATCCCAGAAGCCTGTGGGCACGTTGGTGTGCTGCCTCACCCAGGACAAACAGCCCGAGCAAAGCTTCAGGGCTTGATTGCTGCCTGAGCAGCAAGTACCAGCACAGCCCCTCCAGTTGGGGTGACAAGATGAGCACAACGATCCCTGCAGAAAACACATGGACTGTTCTTCAGTTGCGACTATTACAGATTGCACTAGAAGAGCCTGGGTGTAAGGCTCAGCCAAAAACCCGCCTCTGAGGTGTGTGGAGCTGAGCACAGAGTGGCAATGCCTACAGTGATGGGGACAGGAGCAGGGCACGGCTGCCACCTCCCCAGGACAGAAATGCTGGAAGGTGTCACCACCTGCCTTCCTTCTGGCACAGATGCCTGACGAGGAGGGGGTCTTTGCGAGTGAACCCAGTGCAGGATCTGACCCCCAGCGCACATCATGTTGTGCCAGTATTCCCTTTGCCTTTGAGTCCCCCTTGCTAAATTTCCTCTGGCTTCGGTCACAGCCTCCTGGGGTCTTCTTGGCTGAGCAGATCATCCATCACTCTCCAGCCAGACTAATGCAGGCCCTGATGTTGTGCCCTGGGGTTTCTGCTACTTTCACTTTTATTTCCCCAGTGACTCATCCATTTTATGCCACCAAGAGGGATTTACAGTCTCTCTTTCCACGTCACTTTTCCTCCTGCTTCTCACAGTAGTGATTTCCCAGGAAAAAATACCTAGAAAAGCAGAGCTGTTCCCCAGGCACTTCAGCTGGGGTGAATGTAGATGCTTCAAGACTCAGGCAGTGTGCTGCCAGCAGCACGGCATTAGCAACCCATTGCTCCTTTGCAAATTGGGAACAGCAAGAGGGCTGGCCATGGTATGGGTAGCACCTCGTCCTCCCACATCCAGCCCCAGTGAAGCCACTGGGACTCACCCCGCTGATCCTGGCAAGCTCCCGGCTTGCAGCAGCAGAGCAGCACAGCGCAGCTGGGCATGGGGTCACCCAAGCCTGGATCCCATTGTGGGTTACTCCTCCTGCAGGATTTGAGACCATTTTATTCTTCTGGTGCTTAGTTACTACCTTGTTCCTGGGTAATGCTTTGCAAGCAGGTCTAGAGGCTCGCCCATTTATTATTAATAATCAGAGTCACCATATAAAAATACAAATGCAGCTAGAAGGAAGAGGCAGCTCTGCCGCTGAACCAAGCGCCCTGCCAGCATCAGGACTGATCTCACCAGGCATCCAGGCTGCAGCTTTTGCAGCTCTGGAGAGAATGCAGCACAGACGTTAGTCAGCATTGCACAAAATGTCACTTTTCTGATGTGCTTTCCAAATTACTCATTTCGGCCTCTACGACAAACCTTCCAAAGAGCAGCATGTGTTGAGTTTAACAACAACTACTGAATCCATCTTTGAAACCAGGTTTCAGAGAGGTACACTTAGAGCTTGCACTGCATTGGTCACAACCCTTGCTCTGAATGTTTTTATTTGGGACGTGGCAGTCCCGAGGGCAGAGTGGTTGATCTCATTAACAGAAGGAGGCTTTTCTTAGGATCATTAGCGGAAAACAGCTTTTCGCTGTGCTGGCTGCTCAGATCTCTGCTGGCATCTACTGGATATGCAAACCAACACCAGTGCTGAAAGAGAAGCGGGGATGGGGGATCTCATTCACGTGAGCTATTCGGTTCTGGTGATTATTGTCAGCTAATACAGCCCATCAGGCTGCCACTTATAAACTGTTAATTGTTCATACTTCGTAACTTATGCACAAAGCATTTGCTTTGAACCCAGACTTCATCTAGAGATTAGGAAGGGAGCAGAAAATAATGACTTGAATGAATCTGATGATCAAATCAATGGCAAAACTACCACTGACACCAGTTGGACCAGTACCTTTTAAAGCGCTTTTCATTCATCAAGACTTAATGTTTCCCTCCTAAGACATATCAGTGCCATGTGTATCATTGCCAAATAGTATGGCACTCTTAAACTGAGGGTAAGTATGCTGGAAAGTAGACAAGGGACTGAAGAGCCCAAGGACTAATGTTTAGATTTGGCTTTGACTAACGCCACTGGTATCCAGGGCTGAACTGGTCTTCATATCATGGGAACTGCTCTCTCTCTTATGCCTAATATCCTGCACTGAATCACTCACGTGATTTTTGAATTGGGGTGCTACAAAGCATCCCAACGTCCTTCACAGAGCCTTTCTGTAAATGAGATTGCTGTTTGCCTTGCATCCAGGCTCATCTCAAGGGAGGAAGAAGGAAAGAAGTGTTGCAGAGCCATGGCTGGAGGGTTGGAGCCTCAAAGCTAGTTTTGCAGTGTCTAAACCCTCGGTGTCTTGCTGCCTTCTGAACTCCTCTTCAGCCCAAAGAAAGAGGATCTCAAAGTGGGCTGACACCAGCATGGGCATGTAAGAGCTGTGGAGCTGGTGTCCGCAGAAAGGCTTGGCCAGGAGCCACCTCCTGCAATGTTTTCTTACCTGGGAACAAGCAGCTGCGACCATGGGCAGAGCTTTCAGAGCTAGGTTTAAAACAGCGAGGTAACCCTCAGGTCTCCTTCTCCTGGATGAACCTATGGACTGTGGCTACAACTCATGGAGAAATGTCCCTTCTGGGAAGGAAGAACCGTGCGGGTTTTCTTTGCTATCTATCTACTGGATCACAGTTGAATTTTTCTATAGCTAATACAAGAGTCAATGACTACTGGGACTCAGGCAAAAGCTCTTGAAACTGTTTCAAACATCAGAGCACTCTCTGTACGGCAAATTAGCCTGCACCAATCTCCTTGTTACCACCTGCCAGCTACCTAGGTAAGAGTTAAATCTAATCTCATCATTCACAACCACCTCTTTCACTTTACACTAGCCATACCTTGCTGCGGAAGGGCAGGTATTCAAGAAATTCCTGTCCTACCCTTCTAACAAGTCACTAGTGTTCACTCGCTGTCAAACAGCTTCTGTGAAAAGCTGTGTTTTTTCTGTACAGCTTCTCTCTGAAACAGTACGAATACACTGCTCAACTTGCAAAATCCAGGATCTGCAGGGCAAAGTATCAGTGCTGAGAAGTAGTCAAGGGTCAAATATTTTCCCCGTGGACTTCAGGAGCATCACAGAATGAAATTACATTAATGCTCACAGCAAGAAAAACGGCTGCGTTAAAGTTTCACGAACAATTAGGTCTCTCTCTCTACGATCATTCATCTAGCAATTTTTTACAGAAGTTCCCTTCTCAAAGCTGGGCTGAGAATGATGCCAGGCTGAGACACTGAAATCTCCTGCATAAAAGACAATTTATTTCTTGTCTCACTTACAAAATAATGATAGTATGTTCACTTGGGTCACAAACAGTTGAAAAAGCCAGTAAAACAGTAACATTGTATTTTTAAAGCCTGTACAAGGAAAAACACTGCCTGTCTTTCACATTTAACTCTGGCAAAGATAAAGGATTTCTGATTCAAAATACTAATTTAAGGCTTTAGGCCTTTGGACAAAAAAATTATACTGATAAATTCATATGAATTTATGCCTTGCAATCGCACTTCCATTGTGTTATTTTCCTTTTTTTCAATGGCAAACAGAGCTGTTTTTTAAATATTATACTCCAGATGGATTGCTGCTATCAATACAACACTATCTGTTCTCTGCATATACACATTTTCACATGCTTAAGAGCACACGAAGAGTGCATGGTATTGCTTTACCTCTCCTTTCAGATACTCACCTCTCTCACACGGCTCCTCTAAACATGGTTAAACTCTTAGAGATGTGAGACACTTTGGATGAGCCCAAAAAGAAAACGCACACCTTGTTCACAAACTCGGTGATACCATAGTCTACACCCATACCCTTTTCCTCAGTCTGTCTGAAGAACTCTCATTTCTCATATTCATAGTATTTTAAGCTGACTGTACCTGCAAAAAAAAAAAAAGAAAAGGCTGCTGAAATTCTGACAACTGAGGTTTCATCTTCCTTTCCTTCCCTCCCGGTATCATACATCTTCCCTGTCACAATTGCTGTTTTGTTATGCTTGGGAGTTTGGAAAAAAAAAAAATCATCTTAATAGATCGCTTTTTTAGCCTGTCCTACACTCTATGACTTTCTGACTATCAGCACTTCCACATATAACGGGTTAAAGCAGCATTTCCTGCCATGATGCGGTTTTCACAGTGTGGTGTTTTCAGAGTGTCTTCCAGCTGCCAGAGCTCAGCTTCCAGTTGCTTTTTTGGCACTTAACAAACAGCTCACACCGTCAGTCGGTTTGGGCTGTATTTGTGCGTCTGTCTCTTAGCTTCACTGTGGCACTTTCTGCAGGACTGGAGCAAACACCGTTTCATTCTTGCAGTCAAACTCTTGTGCTGACTGGGTTCAGCGCCTATCACCAGTGCATCAGGCCTGCTAAAAGGGAAGGGGCACTCCCTTTCCCCGTGGATCTCTCGCTGATCGCAGACTGGATCGCCAAACCAGGGCTTGCACGATGGAGAAGAAATCACACTGTGGCTCACGCAGTCCCATCTCTCCGATTTCCTGGTAGTCTGGCTGCAAAGGGCTCCAAGCACCAGGGCTCCCCGCATTTCCTCAGGGAGACAGCCCCAGGACCCAAAGCCTCCATCCCGCACCCTGATCCCTTCAGAGGCTGGTGTTGACGGTATCCGCTTTGGCCTGTACGGCGGCCTCAGAGATGGTGTCTGGCTGCCCATCTCGACAGAAGAGGACGGCGGGGTTCTTGCAGGCCCACATGGCCACCTCTCCCCCGCTCGCCGGGCTGGAGGAGGACAGGGCACTGCCTGGGGGGCCGCTGTGCCGGTTGACATAGCGCTCCCGGACGCGGTCAGCCCGGCTCTGGGGCTCCGGCCGGTAGCCTGGGGCCGACAGGTACGCCGCCACGTTGTTTCTAGTCCTGTAGCCGCCCTCACGGCTGCGCCGCAGCAGCACGGAGATGTTGGGGTTGCGGGCGGCGTAGATGAGGGGGTTGATGGCACCATTGGCCCAGGCCATCCCACTGGCCACGGCGTCCATGGTGGGCGAGAAGGGCAGGTGGCCAGCGGCAGCAGCCAGCCCCAGGATGCAGTAGGGCCCCAAGCAGCAGATGATGGAGACGATCATGATGAGGACGGTGGTGGCCGTGCGCATCTCCCCGTAGGCCCGCAGCAGGTGCCCGTAGGTGGTGAGGGGCCGC